TCAAGGCATCCAAATGTCCATTAATCGTCGTTTGATTAAGGAAAGCTCTCTGAACTGTCTGATCGAAATAGTTCATATTCCTGCATTAATTGCACCCAGAACACTATAAATAGAGTCCCTCCCCTCTCATGTGGAGGGGGCTGAAGCCTAGAAAGAAAGTCTGAGGCCTTAAGAAGGAGTTGCAGCTCAATATCACTGTCGATTGCCCTCGACCACCACCGACCGTCATCGACCACCGTAGATCGTCGTCAACACTCGAATGTGGGACAAGAGCTCATCACTACGGTCCATATGCCAATGACGACCTATGTGGTCATCAGCTCATGCAGCTCCTGACTCGAGCCCCTCGGCCTGCCGATGTCATTCATACTCGCCCCTACGAACTGTGTGGTTCAGAGCTCGTGCAGCTCTCGATTCCGCCCCCCGCGGCCTGCGAACGTTATTCATACTCACCCTACAGTCTGTGTGGTTCACATCTTGTGCACCTCTTAACTCCGGCCCCCGTGACCTACGGACGCCAGTCATACTCGCCATTACGGCCTATGTGGTCCATAGTTCCCGCAACTATTTACTAAGGTTTCTTTGGTCAATCAACACATCTTGAGCAGCCATGCACAACACTCACGATAGACTACTACCTCCATAACAATCAACAACGACCCTTGCAACCTGCTGTCACCGAGAACTACATCCAGATTATAGTTACACAACTTTGTAATTTCATCTTCCCTATTTTAGGGGAAGAATGGACACGTGTACTCATCATTCATAGTGGATTATTTTAACTGTGTTAGATCCTGTGATTTTTCCCTCTTTCAAGGGTTTTTCACGTAAAAAGTCTTGGTGTCTCCTCCTGCTTACTTCTTTTCTGTTATCCGTGTCTACTGAATTCTCATGCAATGCTAAGACGATAATCCATTACTCTACATTTGCAAATTTTCCAGCACACATCAATACTGTACATCAGCTCCATAAGAGATTTGATTCTTTGCACACACCCATTTGCATTTAATGACCTTCCTTCATATAGGAAGTTTCACAAACCTGCAGGTAGCATTCTTCCAAAGTGAAATCATGTAACGAACGCTATTGTAGTATACTAGTGTCCATGTTGAAACCTAATTTTGGGATTAGGTAAGTCTTGCGTGTTTGTTTTTTTGTTTATTAATTTTTTTTTAAAGTTTCTAGAATTAATTTGATGCTCAATTAAGTAATCTTTTTTCTTTCCCGATTTATAAAATATCTTCAGCAGATTGTAGAGCATACTTGATTATATTTTGAACATATTTTACCTATTTGTACGAGCTTCATAAATTGAAAAATAAAAGGTTTCTTTTTGAATATATTTTTCTTAAAAATTTTGTATATTCTTATACAAGTTAGCTTTCTCGAACCATCTGGTTTATGTTTTGCAAACCGTTCTCACGGTGTGTTATAGACATATTTTCCTATTTATTGACTATTTTTTTATTATTTTTGTTTCATTTATTTTCTTTATTATTGAGATTGCATAAGAAAAGGAAGATAAAAGTGGGCTGTAAAACAGTGGAAGAGAAAAAATTGCCATCATTAACGTGCATATGGAACTAAATACTATAAATCACAATTGTTTAATATGTTCCATAAGTACCTTGAAAATTTCCTTTGGCCAAATGATGTATATTATCCTTAAAAATCATTATATATTGATTATTTAAAATTTAAAAGTTTAACTCTTTCAAAATCATGACTCTAACTTAAATAATAGGCGACATACTTTGAATATTTCATAAAAAAATTATTTTTCTGACTGGAAATAGAATTCTTCTAGTTCATAAGCCACTAAACATGAAGAAAATATCACTTGTGACGATTATATGTCTGGACAGCGGTTCGAATCGGCCGTTGTGTAATCCATGGTGGCATGGCTAGGTCCGGACCTGTTGAGAAATTAGGGCGAATAAAAATAGGAATCGACACCAATCCAGAAGAACACAGATATTTACGAGATTCGATAAAGATCCCTACATTCTCAAGAGCTGAGCGGCGACTTTCTTCTCAATATTCAGAAAAGAGTACAAAATACAAAATTCAAGATCTCAGGGTCTAAAAGACGCTCCTAGGGTTACAAACATGACATATATATAACCCTATAATACTACAATATTTAATTACTTAAATTAACCATGTACCAAACAGCGACGTGTTGCCTCCGCACCCCAACCCACATAATGAAGCTATACATAACAAGATCATCGTCCGGACGTACAGTCAGCTGCACGTAATATTTTTTCCCACACTATTTGTTGCCACTTCACTACGAACACAATTAACCCCCTCACCTAGGGTGTCAAACTCAGATTTTGTTGATCGTGTTCTTTTTTTGCCCAAAATTAACTCTGATTCAAAACTCCTGGACTTAAATTCGACTCGAATACTAAACATGATAGAAAGTTTAACTCCAACCCAAACCGCTTTCACCCTCACCAACACAAACTTGATGCATGTAACCCTTTTAACACATGCATAATAGTTATTCAGATTAATTTCTGGACAGCATGTTAACTCAAACATAACCTGAAAATTTAATACCTTGAGATTCCCGAGCTTAACTCATGAACCAAAAAAATAATGGGGTCAACTCGAACTACAATTTTTTGAGTTGAATTCGAGTCGAATTAACATATTGGGTTAATCTTTGACACCCTTATCCCGCAGTAATGCAACATACAGCGACTAACATTAAATTTTAATTTCATGATTTTATGAAAATTAGGATTCTATGCTTGTCTCTTGCTCATCGCCAACATCAGTGGGATTGGAAGAAAATTGTATAAATGCAAGGCAGGCATTTGGAGAATATAGAAGGACCAAATTGATCTGTTATATAGGCTGGCTTCATTGAACCAAATGTGCAATTGGGCTCAATTAAACGTTAACTCAATCATGATGATTTTAATATCATAAATATTTTTTATTTGGGCATTTGTCCAATGTTATTAAGATAGATTTAGAAGAATGTTGTTTATATGTTACAAAAAATTAAGTTTACTTAGGGTGTTTTTGACCTATGTGGTTTTCTAGAAGGTTTTTTTTTTTTTTTTATATATTACAATTTAAGAAAATTTATTAAACTTTAAAATATTTGGAGATTATTAAATTATGCTTTTATTTTCTTAATTCAATAAAATCACCTTGAGGTCGATATTATTTATTTTCTTAATTATTATATTTTTTAATTTTTTCATTATTATATTTTTTAATTTCTTATTATTTTTATTATTTTATTATTATTTTATTATTTTTTTTTCAAGGTGTTTACATTGATAGATGCATATCTAATTGGACAATTGAATCAACTTATCGATCGACTCAACCTACACAACCCAAATTAATCGACTGACCTATAAAGACGACCCAGCAGCCAAACTGCGTCCCAACTGCGTCGAAGGATGCAGTACATGTTATTTTATGTATTTTGCATAGGTGAGTCGATGGTTATCGATCGACTCAATCTTAATATTATACTGCATCCCATATAAATAAGATATCATTCCATGTAATGGGGAAGTTTGGGCCCCGCACTTTTCTCATGTATTCTTAATGATTCGATCATATAAATAAGATCATAAGAGCACGGGAATAGCCCAATTAGGCCAATAGGGGCAAATCAATGTGCAGTCCTCACTCTCTCTACCGGCTACCATCTCTCTCTCTCTCTCTTCTGTCTTACACAATTCAGCACCAACATTTAAATTTTATTTCTTACATTTATAACACCTAACTAGTTCATATCACGTAAGAACAGGGGCGCACCTAACGCTTCTTACCCACCCTCGACTTTATAATTTCCGTGATAGGAGAGGGTTTTTTAAAAAAATTTGCCCTCCTTGCCCACCTTGCCCACCTTGCCCACCATCAACTTGACTTGCTAAAAAAATTTGCCCTCCTTGCCCACCTTGCCCACCATCAACTTGACTTGCTGTAATTGGCACGGGCAGGCCTACTGCCCACTTTTCAACATAATTACTTTAATAACAAATATTGTTATATTAAGTTAATTATATGTTAGATATTATATGAACAAATTATACTGAATCAGATATGAAGTAAATTCTCTGATGGATCGAACTACGATGGCCGATCGAATAAACAAATGAACGACTCACTCAGTGTAGGAACACGCAAAATGACAATCCAATAAGAAATGATTCGACGATAATAGTATCAGTTTTAACGATTATTTCGATTAACTCATAATAGAGAATCTTCCAAGTTTTATCGATCAATCATAATATAACTTCAATTTATTTTATGTATAACAACAATAATGCATGAAAGGCAAGTCCCTACCATGGCTAGATTTGTTGAGACAGCTGCAGGGCTCCAGGTCTGTTTTTTAATAAATTAATTACTCAGCATTTTAAAGCAGGTTAAAAAAGATAACAGCTTAAATTACGAGCTATTTTTAAAATTTTAATTAATGAGTATTAATACAAAAATATTTTCGTATAAATAAAAATATATTTTCTCCATTAATATCATCTTAAAAGTTTTATATCATACTATATATATAGATGTATAATTTAAATCAATTATTGAGCAATTAACGACATGTAGTTAAATTCTCGGCCCAATATATCTTATGCATCTATAACTATAGGAATCATCCTTTAATGACATTTTTATGAATTATCTGACCAAAAATAAATAATTATTTCATTTTTCCGGTTAGCTTGGCGGCGGCTGGAGCCAAGCCGAGCTGGCACCATCGTCCCGGACGCCAAATCCTTTGCAATCCGGAACTTAAACGTTTTTAATAACCCATTCAAACGCCATATGCCCGAAGAATCTCGATCTCCCCACCCCAACTTTTCTACCTTTTCTTTTTTTTTTTTTGAAATTTTTGTTATTTATAATTGTTATTAAATATAAAATTTAAAAAAAAAAAACTAAACCCTAAACACACCCCTCGTCCTATATAAGCGTCAAATGAATACTCAGCCTGCCCAAAACACCCCCGCTCTCATTTACTTCTCTCTCCATCTCTACAAAATCTGTTTCTTCATTCTTTTCAATGGAGAACTGCATCGGGAACAAGAGGAGCCGTGAGGAGTCGCCGGAGGAATCTCCGGAGTCTAAGCGTCTCCATGCCGATGCCGATGTCCTCATCGGTATTCTCGAAGAAGACGATGTTGATGCCGGAGAACGGGATCCGGCGAGCCTAGATTTGGCCACAGTGATGAAAAGCCTGGAGGAGGAGATCGCCATGCCGACGGAGAATGATGAAGATCGGCAAGCGGAGATCGGGTATTTGTTTGAGGCGTCGGACGACGATCTAGGTCTTCCGCCGCCGGAGACGGCGCAAGCGGTTCCGGCGGCGGCGTGGACGGAGGAGGATGTTGAGCCGGCGGAGGGATTTGATCAGATCTGGGGGTTTCAGGAGGAGGAGATACCGCTTTGGTACGACGAGTTGACGGAATTCGGTTTTCCGTCGGAGGAGAAGTTTGGTGCGCCGGAGGACGGTGGCGACGGCTTTGCCGTTTCGTTTGACGGCGGGCTTTTTGATTCTTCGGATTTGTGCTGGCGGCCGGAATCGCTGCCGGCGCAGTGAATGAAGAAATTTTTTTTATTTTTTGTTTTTTTTTGAATTTATTTTTGACTTCGACAGTTTTTTTGTGAATTTGGGAAAGTCGGAGAAGATAAATTTCTGGAAAGGTGTATTTTTTGTTTTTTAAAAAAATTGACTTTCGGAATATAAAAATGTGAGTTTTGAACAAAATAGATTTTATTTGGTGCAATTTTGAATTTTCTGCTGCTGGTATATTTGTAAAATATGTTGTTTTCGGGGACAGTTGTGACAATAAAAAAATATATATAGAGAGAAATTTTATGCACTGAAAATTTAATTTCTACATTATCTAATACTTAAACTATTATATATATTATTATGATAATGGCTGTTCTTACATATCAAGCCCCTCAAATATTAGATATAATATTTTAATCATTCAAAATTTAAATTTAAAAATTTCATGAAATGAAAAAAAATGTTTAAAACATTATTTAAATTTTGAATGATTAAAATATTTATTTAATATTTTGAGGGGTTGTTATGTGAAAATTTTATAATATAGGGGTATAAATCTTTTCATGAAATTGTATTTTATTTTTAAAATTAAATATGAATGATAGTTTTTTTCTTAAATTAAATTAAAGATTTGGGTGTAATATTTATAAATGTTAGAAGTTTGTGTTAAATATATAAAAAAATAGAATTAATATGGTATATACGTAAATGCTTTTTTTGTTATAGTTTAGTGCAATAGTAATATGGATTTATTATATTTTTTTACAATTTACATTCATCTCACACAATTCTTATGTATTTACATATGCAATTTTTTTTTTATATTTATATCATCCAAATCTTTTACACCATATAAAAAATACCCCAATTTTTAACTTTTAAAAATGAAATACACATTTTCATGCATAGAAAATGTGGCTAAGATAGGGAAGGTGGCATTTTTGTAAAAAACTTAAAGTTTAGGTGCTACATATATGTGTTATGTTGGTATAAAAATTCAGAGGTATGAATGTAAATAAATAAAAATTCAGAGGTATGGGCTTCATCAATAATGAACTTGGCTACTTGTTTTGAACTCAATTCATTATGATAAGTGATATGTGAAAATTTAAGAACAAGATTTATATAGATAATGTTTAATAGTTTAAATCACGTGTTTCCATTAGGTTGAAACATAAGGGCATAACTCATGGGTTTTCCTTTTTTAGGAACAGATTCAGCCGCCTTCGCCTGCCGGACTTACTTGTTGGAGTTACCTGTCGATCCCGTTAGCTCACGTGGCTTGTTGAGCGTGCTCACCATAATTGATCCTCGAGATTTACGTACAGCTGATAAGACTGAAATCATTCAAGTGTAGACAGGCATTCATGTCTATTTAAAAGACGCCTGACATTGACTATCATCTTCTCCTCTCTGGTCCTGTATCTAATCGAAAGTTAAGAACTAAGGATTGGGGAGGGAATTGCCACTACATTCTTTCCTTCTTGAATGTTCTTCCCAGAACAATGTTGCTCTCAGTTGTATAAACTCATGAACAATACAAGATCCTACATTTTAAAAAGACTTCTAACATTATGGTTTTTCAAATCGAACTCTTCTCTTTCATATTGGTAAAATTAAAGAAAGTGAAACAGATATAAGATATAGGCACATTTACATGCATCCCATACAATTCTTATGTATTTATATATCTAACACTCAATGTTTGATATTTACTCTCATAACATCTAGGTGCCAAAAATTTATGCAAGTAAAAGTGTATTTCACATTTTAAAAATTTAATAATTTGGTGATATTTGTGATGTGATGTTAAAAATTTGAGTCATATGTTTGTAATTATGAATGTTAAGGTGTTTTAGAGTATAAATACATACAAACTGTGGTGTTTGTATGTATATACCCCCAAGATTTAAAAAAAAAAATTGGCTGAGGTTAATCGGATTAACTTTTGGATAGGGTTGAGCACTAAAATCTTAAACTGTTTAGTTTTATTTTAGTTGAATCCGGGCTGGCGTCCAAACCCGAATTTAACTCGAATTTGATTAAAAAATGGTTGTTATGCATAAGGTTAAACTAGTTATGTGGTCGAGTTTATGTTAATAGAGTTGATTGTCTATTAGGTTCGAGTCACACACTCCCACTTATTTTAAAGTAGGTCATTACGTAGGTCATGCAAATTCAGGTGGAGCGAAATTCAAATCAGACTTCAACCTAACTCGCTAATTTGAATCAACACAAACTCACAATCATAATACGAGCCAAGAGTTGGATGATTAATTTGTTATAGAGTGCCCCACTTTCACTGAATCCCTCCTAATCTTTTAGGGTTGGAAGAAATTTCAGAATCTTTCTCCTCAAATCATGGCTGAAATGAAGGTTCCCAAAAGTAAAGATATAATTGGGAAGATTTACATACATACCACTCAATTTCTATGTATTTACATATCTAACATCAAAAACTTCATTTTTTTTACACATGGCACTTCATTTATGCATAAAAAAAAAAACTTCAATTTTTTTACACATGGCACTTCATTTATGCATAAAAAATGTGTATTCACACTTTTAAAAGTCAAAATAGCATTATAAAGATTTTGATGGTATAAATGTAAAAAAGTGAAGTTTAGATGTTAGATTTATAAAAATATAGGAATTGGGTGGTATGTATGTAAATGCCCTTAAAATAGAACAAATCAAATAAAGCGACATAGAAAATAAATTATCTTGTACAGCTGTTAACATAGAGGCTCATAATAATCATAAGAAAAATAAATAACTCAAGAAATTCTAAGAAAATCAGATAAAATAAATGTAGCTAGTTAATATAAATAAATTTAAATTATTAAATCTTAAAATTTAATTATCTAATAAAATTTAAATTTATTAAAAATAATTTATTTAAAGAAATATAATCCAAGAAAATGTAAATTTTACATATACTATTCAAATTCTTATTCGCATGCCAGCAAGAAATTTATATGACCATGCATGATTCTTGATGCATTTTGGGTTCGATTTTTTTCATATTCAATTCATCATTTGAGAAGAATCCAGAGATAATGCAAGAACCTTGAGGTTTAAGCAAGAAATGTTCAAAGTTCAATTAAAAATTATTTAGAAGTCCGATTTTAAAAAACTTACAGTTAAAACGGTCAGCATGACAACAAGATAAACCCAATGATACCAAAATTGATTCAAAGTTGAGCCAAATCAAGCCCATATTAAGCCGTTAAACACATTTAGAAGTTTTCAGTGTGTAATTGAAAAGTCAAATAGATTTTCAAATCTCACAAACTTATAATCAAATCGAGCTTCTCGATGAGGCAAATCCAAAAAGCATAGAATCTCTGAATTATGACATCATTAAGACACTTAAATATTCATCGAACATCATCTGAATAAGGCAATTTCTTTGAGTGGTCAGATGGTGTAGTCTGAATTCTTTTCTTAATTGCAGAAAGGCTTCTACCAAACTCTATAAATAGATTCCCACCCTCTGCTTGAGAGGGGATCTAGAGGGGATAAAAGCTTGTTGTTGATACATCCAAAAAGCACAGAAGAACATTGAAGCTTGGAGAATGAGCTGAAGTCTAGTATTACTTATGCATCGAAGATTAGGTGAATACCTCCCGCTTTTGCAACCATGAAACACTGTCAACCACCACCTGCTTTCCATCGTCGACTATAGTCGGTTGCCCTCTACTCGCTTCAACAAAAATCCATATGTTGTGTTGTGAAGTGAGAAATAAAAATCAACGTCGCCTCCATATGGAGTCAAGACTTGTGTTGTGAAGTGAGAAATAAAAATCAACGTCGCATCATCCTAAACGTCATACCAACCTCAAAGGCGGTGTATCGAAGCTCTAGTAACTACTTCCTATTGCGACCGCTCAATGTCGTGGGGCAACGAGCTCTTCTGTGCACAACCATCTTAACATGAGAAACCGTGTAACCCTTTTCCTCCTATAGAATAAGAGTCTGCACGTGTTATCAACAAGTCATAATGAATCATTTCCATTAAGCTAGGACCCGTGATTTTTTTTTTCCATTAAGCTGGGGCCCGTGGTTTTTTTTTTCTTGATTATCCACAGAAAAACTTTTGGTGTTTTTACTTCTTGAGTGTGTGTTAATTTTTTTTACAACATTAATACGACAATTGCTTATTCTACCTCCACCAATTCTCGGTTAGAATTTCAACAATGTCATAGTTAAATAGAGCACCTCGATAATAAATATCTAACGCCACTAAAATCAATTCAATTCAAGTCCA